TACACAATAATAAATTCATATATTTGTGTGTTTGCCAGAAGTCATATATAGAGAGTGTTTGCCAGAAGTCATATATAGAGAGTGTTTGCCAGAAGTCATATTTAGAGTGTTTGCCAGAAGCCATATATAGAGAGTGTTAAAAACACTATATCTGACTTCTGGCAAACACACAAGCAATGTTCACAGACTTTTATAGTAATAAACACATCAATCACTATCTACTGCCATCCTGATTAATCTCTTCCCTTTCTGCTCATCATTAACACCCTGTAACCCTTTTGTTTTAGTAGGCATTACTGCCTTGATTTTTTTAATTCTGATTTTTTATATATATATATATATATATATATATATATATATATATATATATATATATCAAAAAAAGGATATTATGACTAAAGACAAAAGGAAAACTTACCTTAGCTGACACATTTTATCCTCTGATGGACTTTATCAAGGCAAATGTGAGGATTTTATTTTGAAACAAGTACTTATAAACAAAAGCAAAAATGTTGCTAGTTTTTCATAACTTTTAAGTTTAAGAGATGTTAACAAATATTCATGAGGTTAACTGAAAAGTCCAGGTAAATTACGGAAGATTCTAAGTGAGGTAATTTAATAATAAATGAAAATGAATAAAACTAATGACATTTTTGCTTTTGTTTATAAGTACTTGATGAAAAATTACATTTGCCTTGGTAATGTCCACCAGAGGACGAAACAAGTGGGATAAGATAAATTTTCCTTTTGTCTTTATTCATACAGATATACTTTTTTCCAAATGCATTATAAGCTTGTCTTCAAGTAAACAATACTGCAATTTACTTTTATGCTGAAAAACATCCATTAACTGTCTCCCCTCCATTCCTGTCCCAGCCACTGAAAATGTCAAATATCAAGTTTGACAAATGTCAAACAATGCAAAAGTGCTGTTAAATATTTATGAACTTTGATTAATTTGTCGTAAAACTAAAATTAGATAAACGCAAAATATTTGAAGAATTTTTTTTTTTTTTTTTTTTTTTTTAATTATAATTTTTGAAAATTCCATAAACGATCAGCTCAAAATTTTTTTTTTTTAAAAGGGGATTTATTTCCCTGTCTTGTCTGAAAATTGACTCTTTACAGCACTTTTTTCTCACCCTCCCCCCATTTTGAAATACTTCACCATCTGTCGACCAGTCTGGTTATTAAACAGAATGGAGGGACAGAATAAAACCTTTGTACTGTCATGTGATATCTGTCCTCCTATATGGCAGTGAATGCTAGACAATCTCCTCAATAATGATGAAGAGACTTGAAGCAACAGAAATATGGTTCTACAGAAAGATGCTGAGGATACCATGGGCCAAATATGTGATCAACGACAAAGTTTTAGAGAAAATGGAAACAAAAAGGACACTTATATATAACGTCAGGAAAAGACAGTTGAAATTTCTAGGGCGTATAATGAAGAAAGAGGGCTTGGAAAATCTGACACTCAGAGGATAGATTGAAGGCAAGAAGGACGGAGGAAAACAACATATAACATACTTAGATTGAGTAAATGGATGGCAGAACAAGGTTTAAGAGAAACAACAAAAAGACAAAATTTATTAAAAGCTACAAAGGACAGGAAATTGTGAAGAGCCATGATCACTTACATTCTGAGGAGACATGGCACTTAAAAAAAAGATTTTTAGATGTATTGGATGCACTCATGGAGAGCCAAGTTAAAATTCCAGCCGTGTTTGGTACATTCACTTACGTGTAAATACCCTTGGGAAAGTTATGAATCCATCTCCTCCTTCTATGGGTTAAATAGTAGAACAGATTGGTCTCTAGCCATGGTTGGCAATCAATCTAGGAGAAGGACAAATTAAAAACTGTATGTAGCCCTGGGATCCAAATTACCAGTTACCCTTTGGCAAGGCATAGTACCGGGAAGCCATATCTGCCAGTGTTACAGTGAAGACATTGGCAACAGGATGTTGGATGTGGTCAATGGCAGAATCTGACAGACCAGATTTTTTTCCATTGATCTGTATCTGGAAAAATCAATTTTATACTGGAAAAGTTCTTACTAATATGCTTTAGCTCGAAATAATCCACAAGGGGTTGATAAGCTATAAAAAACAATCAATCAAAACCTAGACGTATTAAAAATAATGTCTGACACTGGTACCTAAAATTTAACCATTTAGTATTAACATTAAGCACCTATACATATAGCCCCATGCATTTATATGTTTGTTTCTCTTGCTAAAGTTTCATAAAAAGGATCTGCCAAGAGCAAAAAGAAATAGTCAACTTGCCTGGCATCCTTCGACAATGGATGTGTATGTCCATCGGGCTCCAAGAATACTGGCAAATTGACCTTGTGAAGGTCATTTGTCCACTCAAGTTCTGGCACTTACATGTCGACATCATTATCCTCATCTGAATCGGTCAGTTCGTCACTTTTTAATAAGATATCAATCCAAATCTTGCATTTCTTCTAATTATTTTCTTTTTCTTAAATTCTAGAATAATCTGGGCTGTATATCAATCAAATCAGTCTTCCTGCATCTGTCCCAATTAAAATATGTACAAATTTAATCTGCCTCTCATATCTATATATATATATATATATATATATATATATATGAACAATATTGGGGAAAATGTATGACAAGAAAAATTTTTTACACTTTGTCATTATAATTGTGTATTTGGGCAGCAATCATTCTTTTATACAAGTTTCATTAAAAATGACTACATGGTACTGCAGTCAAGTTTTTTTATTTCATTTTTCTTGTTGACCATGTTTGGAAATTAAAACATTCATATAACTCTAAATACATATATAACACTACCCATACATTCAGTTAGAAGTAGAAATAAAATCATCCTTGATAATGGCTAAAAGTATAGCCAAACGTGCTTGAACATACTGAACATTCAAAAAATTTCGACATAACTTATGTTCTGAAAAGAAGGAAATTATAAATTTAAAAAAAAAAAAATTAAATTAAGAAAAATTAAATAAAAATCTTAATCACAGTACCTTGTCAGTTGTTTTTTAATCAAACTTTTGTGTGTGTGTGTATATATATATAAAACATTATAATTATATTTTATAATTGTCCCCTATTCTAAGAACTCTCTTTTCTTTTATCTCTTATACCTTACCTATATATTTTTTTTTTTTTTTTTTTTTTTATTTATATATATATATATATATATATATATATATATATATATATGGATTTTTTTTTTTTATTATGACTTGATTTAACTTATCATTTAAAGATAAAAATGAATAATTTATTTTATCTTAAATTTTTCTTTATTATAAAATTTTTTATTCTTTAAAATACAATGTTTGACATATGACATGAAAACATTCCAACGAAATACAGGATCACCTCGTCAGTGATGTTATGACTTGGGGTCACTACAAGTTTTGGGTCTTCCAACATCATACTTGTTCACCCAACAGACCCTACCGAAACAGTACTATTCCGGCAGGCGATCCTGAAGCAAAAAAAAAAAAAAATATTCCAAGCCAATTTTTAATTATATTCTTACTTAAATTTAATATAATTTATCTAAATATGACTTATTGTTAATCTTTTTAATATATCTATGTAGGAAACTAACTTTTTTTTTTTATATATATAAAACTCCCTTTTTGGCCCTCTTTTAATTTCAGTTTAACACTTCATTCTTCATAAAACCCCAATTTAATGTCATAAGGTCAATATTTGGGTTAATTTTATAAAACCACTTCCTTTTAAGGCCTTCAACTATCCCCTTAATATCAACTCTGGCATTTTATCTGACAGAAACATCGAAAGAATAAATTCTATATCAATTTTTCGACTGCTGTCAAAGTTAAATTTTAAATTTCTAATTCCAACACAAACACAGTCTATACACTGGGGTTGAATAAGACTAACGTACTTCTCATTGCTTGAAATAGATCTATGCCCCCCATGTGAATTAATTTTCAATTTTGTTGTGTAATATATATACACACACACACATCCTCTCTTTATGAAAGAATATACATTATATTGTGAGCTCATTAACCTTAACCTAAAATAACAGTTAAAAGCACCCTGTGTTTCCCTGTGAGTTCCTGGTTGGCATTTTGTCAATCTTGTTCATTCCCCAACCCTCGTCATTTATCCCGAATTGAGTGTTCTGTACATTTCTAAGTGCTCGTTTGACAAATTTATGCAATTTATCTTGTTAATGACCATGTTGTTAATTATTGATGAATGATATATACTCACTTTTCAAAATTCACACTTGAGTAACTAAATTAAAATGTGCTCAACCCAATTTTCAAAAAACCAAAATTTAGGGCAATTTAAGACAAAAAATATTTGAAACACCAACCTTTACGCTACCACTGCCTGATGTTATCACTCTGGTAGAAACCATCAGTGTTTCAAATATTTTATGTCTGATATATATATATAGTGTAACCCGGATATAAGAGAGTTGTCGGGACCGGAGAAGAAGTCTCTTATATCCGGGTTTGGTCTATTTTATATACATTAATACAGGCTCTAATTTGGGACCAGAGAAAATCTCTCTTATATCCGGGTTACACTAAAGACATTTTTATGTTTATACATTCTTTTTATAGATACAAATATTTAAGTAAATGCTCTGTTTATAATAAACAGTATTAAACAACATATACCAGCCTGAATGTCCGAGAAATTTTCATAGAAAATATTCGTCCTCCGACAGGAATCGAACTTCTATCCTATACAGAACCGTCATATAGCCTGACATGCCTTAACCGATTGGGCCACAGAGGATCGTTTGGTTAGCAAGGTCAATTTTACTGCTTTTAATCTACAATCTTCCATGATTCTCTCACATACATTCATATCTGCTCAATGTGTATCCAAATATAAACAAATCTCACACATCATGAAATGGACAAAGTCCGACAATTATTTTAAGACATTTTTATTTTTATACATTTTTTTCTTATAGATACAAATATTTAAGTAAATGCTCTGAAAACACTGATTCTCATTCATACGATCACCAAAGTTAAGCAACATCGAGCCTGGTAAGTACCAAGATGGGTGATTTCTTGGGAATACCGGTTTAATGGATAATTACTCAGAATTGGAAATCTGGGAGACAAGTTTCAATCCCAGTCAGGTTTGCTATATTCATTTACTGCAAATACATCTGGGGAAGATATGAATCCACTTCTTCCCTCAGCTATGGGTTAATTAGTAGGACATGTATCAGTAATTTGTTATTATTTCTAAAAAGAATTCTTACAATCTAAAAATATTTTCTACCTCTAAATAACCATCAAAAAGTTGTTAAGCCATAAAAAGCAAGTCACTCAATCAATCACACAGACACAATCTGGGTTGTATGAACAATATATATTTATTTTCAATAATATTTTTAGGATTAAATTCATGTTTCAGATGATTACATGACAGAATGTATTTTTATGGTACATTGATTCCAATATGATGGTCATGTATTGCCAGACAATAAGTAAATTCTCATAATCTTTAATCGCATCTCCAAGGTTCTGATTCTGAATGTGGTTTTGTGTAATATTGACTCTTCTGTAATAGTCATGAAGTGCCAAACAAGGATTTTTAAGTAGATTTTTTCTTTTTTTTTTTTTTTTTTTTTTTAATCATTTCACTCCAAGCAAAGTGAAATGCCACTAGAATTGCAGGGAGTGAAATAGAATGAAAAGACTGAAAATGGGGAGGATTGGGAAATGAACAAAAAAGGGATAGGGTTCAAGAAGACAGATGATGGCAATTGACATTGGATTTAAATTTTTGAAGACTGTAGTCATCAGAGTAGCAAGAAATCAGAAGGGAGTTCCACGGGTTGGAAGTGTGAACAAAGAAACTGTTGGAGTAGAAATGGCATTTGCATCTAGTTAGTCCAACAATAAAACAGTGAGACCTAGTTTGCAATCTATTAGAACAGTTAAATTCATATAGTCAAGCACCAGGGGGTTATCAGAGCAGTTGCTATGGAAATATTTGTACAAAAGGCAGGGAAACCACATCATGTTGGTGAGAAAGTGAATGAAGTTGAGATGCCTGGTCAGTATTGATTACATTGCAGACTCTTAGATTCTCATAGTTGTTAATCACATCTCTAATGTTCAGATCTCTATCTATAAAAGGCAGGATGTGTGTGTGTGTGTGTGTGTGTAACAAATGCACAGCCGCAATTTTCGACAGATTTGCACCAAAATTTACATGCACATGCTCCAAGTTAGTGGAAAGGCCAAGACCAACTTTGCATTTCCCAACTCCCATTGATAGTGGAAATAATCGATTTTTTCATGCTTCTACAGCAGTTTTCATGTAGTTTGCAGCCATTTTCTACTGGCCAGAGTGAGAGCCTATAGCTGGCTGCCACAAATAGGCAGGAAGATTCTATTGGCAGCGTGAGAGCCAACAGCTGAGCCAAAAAAATCGATAACTGCATTCTGAAAAATTTAAATCTGCAATGTTAAATTGGCTCATTCGCTTAAACAAAATCAACGTTGATTCTGATTCCGCAGAACTGGGTTGGGTGTGAAAAAGTATTTGTTGTTAACATTCTTTTTTCATTCGGTTTTTCCAGTTACAAGTCCTTTTTTAAAGCTGATCGTCTTGTGTTCATTTTGTTTAGTTCTTTTTTCGTAACAGATTTAATGTTTAGTATAGAGCTTAGAAAAAATTTGCAGTGGGAGAGGCAAGAAGTAAGGCATGTAGCAACATCAGCACGGCAAAGGGCACTCCTTTAAAGGCAAGGAAGGGCAAAAATATTTTAAGTCAAGTGATAGCGATTGCTGTATGTGTCATACAATTTTAATTCCCTACAGTGATAAAGGTTAGCAATACCAGCTTATTGACCCAGTTGCCCAGTGAAGAAACATTTGTCAATACCCCCCTATTTTTTTTTTTCAAAATTTTTGTAGACATAAGCAGTGCCTTTAGAGCTTCTTGAATAAGATTTGAGTTGAAATTCTGGGAAAAAAAAAATTTAGAAGTGTCCACAATTAGTTCTAATTAACCTTAACCTAAAATAACAGTTAAAAGCACTCTATGTTTCCCTGTGAGTTCCTGGTTGGCATTTTGTCAATCTTGTTTATTCCCCGACCCTTGTCATTTATCCCGAATTGAGTGTTCTGTACATTTCTATCTAAGTGCTCGTTTGACAAATTTATGCAATTATCTTGTTAATGACCATGTTGTTAATTATTGAAGCTTTTTGCACATTAGTGAAATAAGTGACTCGGCACCCATTCATTGGCCATATATCACAGTTGAAAGTGGGTTGGGGTAGAGACTTTGGTTTAAATTGACAAGCCGGCAATGGAACAAGAAGTGTACAATGTATAAAAGGAACGCACTTGTCAAAGAAATTTTATCGTGTGTTGATTCTTCAATTTAAATAACACAAAAATTTCTATCTTTGATGATGATTGATTTGGAAGAGGGGTGGTAGAATTTTTTAGAATTAGCCTGATTAGATTTTAAAAAATAAATTTGATTAAATTCAGTCTCCTTTGTATTAGAATATATAAAAACACTGTGACATTATATATATATATATATATATATATATATATATATATATATATATATTTCATATGAACGATTTAATTACTTTTTTATTTAATTTTTCCAGCACCCTTTTTTCCATAAGTTTCATTGTCCCATGTGCTTTTGGTCAATTTCTTTGAGCTATTTTCAAAAAAATGTTTTTTAGTGTTATTTTTTCTTCGTGTTTATATATCTCTTTGTTTATCTAATCTCTCTCTCTCTCTCTCATATATATATATATTATAAATTAATTGATTTAAAATATGTTTTTTTCGCTATACAGTTCCAACCATGTTTCAAAAATAGAAGAAAAAAATAGATTTATTTAATTTTGCAATTAAATTAAAAGCATTAGTTCCATTTCATCCTCAAGTTTAATTTTGAAAAAAAAAAAAAAGATTTGTCAAAGTTATATATATTTGTATATATGTATTTATGTATATATATGTGTGTATATATATTTATATATATGTATTTATGTATATATATATATATATGTGTGTGTGTATATATATTTTATATATGTGAATATATATGTAAAATGTGTGTATATATATTTTTATGTATATATATATATATGTGTGTGTATATATATTTGTATATATGTATTTATGTATATATGTGTGTGTATATATTCTTTGTATATATGTATTTATGTTTATATATGTGTATATATATTTGTATATATATATTTTATGTATATATATTCTGTATTATATATTTGTATATATGTATTTATATATATATATGTGTGTATATTTTTATATATATATATGTATATATGTGTGTATATATATTTATATATATGTATTTATGTATATATATGTTTGTATATATATTTTTATATATATTTATATATATATATATATATATATATTAATTTGTATATATTTATTTATGTATATATTTGTATATATTTATATATTTATATATATATATATGTATATATATGTGTTTATATATTTTTATAGATACGTGTGTATATATATTAACACATATGTATAACTGTATATATATGTCACCCACATATTTCTTATGTTCGTTGAACATATATCTGTTCACACCCTATATTTGTATTTATGTTTTTATTCTTATATATATATGTATATATCTATTATTGATATATATATATGTATTCTAAATGTATTTAAACTTTATATGTATATATATATATATATGTATTTATGTATATATATATAAAGGTATATATATTTTATTCATTGATATTTATTTGTATATATATGTTCCTGTATTTATCATATATTTGTATATATTTGTTATGTATATATATATATTTGTATATATAAAATTTAAGGATATATATATATATATTTTTGTCTATTATATTATATGTATTTATATATATATATTTGTATATTGATGTTTCATATATATATATTTGTATTTATTTAAGTATATTTTATATGTATTTTGCATATATATATATATATTTTTGTATAAAGTAAAATGGAAATATTCTATTTAAATTGAGAGGTATATATATATATATATTTGTATATATCATATATCTGTGTATTTATATATGTAATCCATATGTATGTATAATAATATATATCCTATTTAATGTATATTTTATTTAAATTAATAATTATAAATAAAAATTAGAAGATTGTACCATTTGGGATTTTGTCTTCTCGAATGTTGTTTATATATAATTATTCATATATAAATTATGGATAAACATATATATTCAAATTCCAAAAAAAATCAATAACTATTATAAGCATTCTTTATATATATTTATGTTCTTTTACTATTTAATTTGAAAATGATATTGATTTTTATAAAAAAAAAGTATATTATTTGAGATATAATTATTTCTTCTAAAATGCTCATGGTTTTAAAAAAATTTAAGCCTGTAGTTAAATGTCCTCTTATTTGTATAAAAAGATCAAATCATTGTAAATGGTCAATAAATGGTTGTTTTCTCTAAATTTTCTATATATTCTAACAGCAGGTAAGGGTTAAATTTCCAGAACAACCATTGTGGAAGGAGAAGGATGTTTCTCATATTATTTATATATAAGAGCATATATATATATTTATATATAAATCACATTGCTTTTCAAATGGATGTTATATATTTATATTTTATAAATATATCATATATTTATATCATATGTATTTATGTATATATATATATATAAGATATATGTTTATGTAATATATGTATATATGTATATATATGCAAATATTTATATATATCTATGTAAATATTAAACTATATTTACATCTATTTATGTTTATTTTATCTATTATATATATATATGGATCATTTGCATAAAAATGTGTTTCGCATTTATCAATATTTGGTTGTATATATATATATTTGAATGTATGTATATATATTTATATATATATATATATATTTATATATTATATATATATTTATATATATATTTAAAATGAACATATATTTTCACATGTATATATGTATGTATATATGTATTTATTTTTATATATTTATATGTATATATATTTATTTATATTTATATATCTATGTATTTATTATAAATATATATATGTATATATTATATCTATTATGTATATATATATATTGTATTTATGTATATATATATATATATATATGTATATATATATTTATATATTTATGTATATATATATATATATATGGGATATATATTTATATATATGTATTTGTGTATATATATATATATGTATGTATTTATATATATATATTACTATTTTTATATATACATATATATATATACACATAAATATATGTATAAATATATACATGTCTTTTCAGTTATCTGTTTTGGATAAGACTTGTTGTTTATGTTCATTGTCTTTGTCAAATTGAACTGAATTGTATTTTAATGAATATTGTCTTGAAAAAGGTTTATTAAACCGAAACGTCAGACGTCGACATTTCATTCATTTTAAACAACATAATTGCATTTAAGGATTTTTGTTTGTTTTTTCCAAATTTTTCTTCATATATATATATATATATATATATATATATATATATGTATATTTAAAAGAATGAATGAGTAATATTTTGATGCAAGGCATTATATAATGCAATACATTTTGCATGCATGTTTTGACGTTGAAAACAAAGAAAATGTCAAACGCAAAATAAAAAAGAAATACATTAAAATTACATAAATAATTCAACGTACTTTAACTTTTATTACACCAAGTGAAGTTCTGGAGGTGCAATAAGAAGCAAAATTGATAAGGCATTCATTTTGACAAAAAAAACGACATGTTACCTCATGTTTGAATACGAAAAGACACTAGTATTTGTTTGATCTTTCTTTTCACCTGACTCATATTTATTTGTCTCATTGATAAATAGTTATTATTCCATCATTTATAAATAGACAAAATAATTCACATTCAGAAAGGCTATCAGATGGTCGTCAGTAGCTTCCATAAAATTACTCAGGCATGTATGATAGTAGCCGCAAGTGCTCATTGTCACTTTCCTCCATGTCACTAACATGGTTATCATCTCCGACCACTTCACCATCAATATCTACTCAAGTAAAGCCTACAAAATCATCATCAGAAAGTTAATCAAAGAAAAACTCCTGAATAAAAGCTTTGTTGGATATTGACACAGCCATTTTTGTTTACAAAATTGATGTTACACCTCTTGTAGAGTCTAGAAGAATTCAAAATGGCATTGGAAACGGAAGTCTAACCTTGTTCCAAAGCAGTAGGCGATTTCCAGCTTAAAATACTGGAAATAACAGCTGACAAGTGTTTATTTGTAGCAACTGTCTCAGAGTGACATAATGTGCCTAGAGCAGCAAAGGGAGAGAATTCTACAGTGAGTATTGTCACTGCAGCATGTTAAAGGTTAACTCTTCAAGTCCAAGGTCAATCATTATTTCTCCTCCAAAACCTCATAATCTTCACTTCCTACTTTCTCCTCTTATACTCATATCTCACACCTGATTCATTAAACCTCTATTTTGAATGGCTCTTGAGCCTTGTATTAGATGCATTTGGAAAAAATGAAATAAAATCAATTAATAAAATAATGAATAATAATAAAAATAAAAATAAATACATTTACCCATGATGCTAAAAGTAAAGGAACGAGAAATTGATTACCCCACTTGGTTTCTAAAACACTGTTAGGTGGCATTGTTGAAGTCTATAAAAAGGCAAACATTTCCTGCCTCACTCTCTTTCTCCTCTTTGCTTAAAGATGTGAACCATGTGGTAATTATGTTCCCACTGAAGAATGTTAGTTTCCCCAGTCCAATGACAACCAAATTTTTTTCTCACTTCCAAATGACATCATCGTATGACGTGTTTTATCAGCTCTACTTATGAAGTAGATGTTTGGTCATCCCGACACAGTGTGAGATTGACTTGAGCTCGGCCATCTTTACCCGTTCATATCCTTACTTTCCACAAATTATTTCTGAACCATAAAAGAAAAACGGACATACTCAAGAGGCATTTAAATTTTTTCAATACAGTCAACATAAAAGGAATAAACGTCCGTAGCAGAAACACAATTTTTTTGTATGCTTTTTCTATCTTCTTTGTTTATGTATTGAACATGCACCTTCCATATATCTATATATAATATTCATTGACTGCAATTAGTTTGTCTGTCCTTCTGTCACACCATCTAAAATAGACATGCACTGACTGATTGAAACCAAATTTTTGGGAGAAGTGCAAACAGGGAAAAGGTACAAAGCACAGTTGATTTTACTAGTGTCCATCACTTAGTACAATTAATTTTCATTAATTTTTTTGGAAAAATTAAGTTTTATTATTTAACATGCAAAATAAATTAACCATGTCATCATTATCCTTTCTCCCAGTAGTACACTGGGGACAAACATCAAATGATTTAACCATAACACTGCGAACGTCAGTCCCCCTGCCAATACACACCTTTCAACAAAAAGAGATTGATCTTTGTAAGGCATTTTCTAAGCCATCTTTATTTTAATGAACTGGTTACAGTTTTGGCAATATAATTAACAAGGCCAAATGCTTCAAAAAGTTGGAATTTGGCCCCAGAAAAAAAATATGTATGCATGGCCAGTTGTATGTTGCATGCTCAAGAGTAAGAAATCCTAAGAATTTATTCTTTGCTGTTAAAAAGGAAAAAAAGAAATTTCCTTAAAAAAATATTGTTTACTATGAAGTCCTACAAAATTAAAGAAATTATTAAGCCGCAAAGTAGGGTCTTTGACAGTATTATCAATAACTTCATTAATACTAAATACTGTGAGGATTTCAGCACACATCATGTCGCAAAAAAATTCTGGTATTTAATATTTTTCTTCATTGTCGTAATGTTGTGCTCAAATATTTATAACAATTTCTTGTAGATACAAATCATATATTATTCAATGCTATCACACCAAACTGACATGAATTACTAATTTTTCCAAACAACTTATTCAAATCTATCTATCAAATTCTGTGACTTCTGTTAGTCTGTCCATCACACCTTCTAAAATAGTCATACATTGACAGATCAAGACCAAATTTTGGGAAGAAGTACAAAGAGGTAATGGAGTACAAAGTACAGTCAGTCAGTTATGTGCTGAGCGTGATACACCTTTAGGCAATCATGTATCTTTTGATACATCATTGACAAGACAGATTTTTTTCCTGCAATAGGTTGCCTTTTCTTTCTGCAGTAGACCAGTCACCATTCAAGGCTATAGAATCCAGTCTGTCCTGCTATTTACCCATAGCAGGGTGAGAGAAGAAGATTTATACCTTTCCCAAGGGTATTAGCACATAAGTGAATGTAATGGATTCGACTGGAATTCGAACTCGGCTCTCCAATTCCTCAATCCGAGCCACTATCCATTATTCCATCAGGTCTCAAAGTACAATTGGGTTTAATAGAGTGCATATAAACTACAAGTTAATGTTTTTGTCAAAACAATTTTGAAACAAAAAAATCAGCTTATTCAAATTTCTTTGAACGGTTTGCGTAATTGTATGAAATGTAGAGTTTGCAAATCTTGACAAAACTTCTTAGCAAGAAAATTCTAACCATCTAAAAATACACACAAAATCCGCAACCTTGTTAAAACCCACACACACTTTAGTTATACCAAACTGTGACAATGTTAAATTTTTTATTTTATTTTATTTTTTATTTTATCAATTCAGCTAACCACTTTGTTTTTTTGTTTTTTCTTTTCCCAGTTTTGCCATACTGGATAGAATCTGCAAACAATGGAATTATCTCAAAGACTGGAAATACTTTGGTAAGTAAAAGAACTGTTACAAGACTTAATTGATAAATAAGATCTCCTACTCCAAGCCATTCCTAATAGTGTAAGAGCAAAACACGTTTGAATATGTATTCAGTAGTATAAGAAAATGAACAAATAGGAAACGTTCATCAATCTTAACATATTTTATATTCCTGGGTATGATGATAAACTATATCCAGCAGCAAGACCTCTGATTGGGAGATTGGAGATTTTGAGGAGCATGGAACCACCTCTTAATTGCTGTTATTCCCAGGTTCACACTGATCTAAGATGGTAGCACCTGTTAGAGTCCCAATTATGGGCAAATAGTTAACCCCCAAACTGGAGTGAAAATACTATGAAAGTATAAAAATAAATTTTTATAGTAAAAATACCACCAATACATTTTCATAGAAAAAGATTGCCAACAATATATTTTCACAAAAAATTAAAAATTGCCAGCAATATATTTCTGAAAAAGAAAAAAAAATTACCATCAATACATTTTTGTAAAATAAATTACTAATGATCTGAAGAAAATTTAATTTCAGCTTTAAATGACCTTAAGGAGTTGATATGCCACTAAACAAACGTTTTATTTTTATTATAGTTTTATCAGAGAATGAGATGTTTTTATCCGTATCTTATTCACTGAATTTTTTTTTTTTTTTTATAATGATGCTCACCTTGTATAAGGCCCAAGAGCCACTCGAGGTAGAGGCTTACAAATTAAGAGGCACATCTTGTGTAGAAGATAATGGTTAACCCTAGACATGAACAGGTTAAGATTGTGTGATTGGGGAAGCAGCCTCTTTGAAGTCAGTTCCACAAGGCAGCAGTTTGGGGGAAGAAGCTGCTTGGGTGGAACTTACATTTCACTATTGTGTGCATGGCATGTGGTGTCTTAGCCATGAAGGTTACGACTGGTGGAACTAAGGAGTGTAGGTCATCTGAACACTCTCCATGGAAATAGCGATAAAGAGAAATGTTTGCGATGTGAAAAAGGGGGTTGCAGAGTGGAAAATAATTCATCACCTACATGGACACAGAGACACTTTTGGACTCTATTGAGAGCAGAAAATGAAGACAGGGTGACTTCCACCCATATATGGCAGTAGTACTCCATTTACTCCATTTCCAATTGATAAACATTTCCTATCTTTTAATTCTTTCAGATTACAATCCATATTAAAGGGAATGAGGGTGGTTCACTACAAGATGTCGGGTAGGGCGGGTCTTCGAAGGTTAGGACTGGTCGAACTAAGGATTGTAGGTCATCTGAACATTCTCCATAGAAATAGCGATAAAACAGCGAGAAGCTTGCTACGCTTTGTGAGAAACTGGTTACAGATGAGGTGGGGGAAATTTGACACTCACAAGGATGCGGAGATGCTTTCATTGCCTATCAAAAGTGAAGAATGAACAGCTCCTGCACATATATGGTAGCAGTGCTCCATATCCGGTCTGATCTGTCTTTTGTAAAGATAGGCGATAACAGGAGGAGTCAGGTACTTGTTGGGGTGCTACATGACACCGGCCATTTTCCCAGCATCTTTAGCAATGGGTTATATGTACGAGATCCACTAGAGGTCAGGGTTGAGTTTCAGTCCGAATACACGGACGCTTTTGGATTTTATTGAGAGTGGAAAATGAAGACAGGGTGACTTCCACCCATATATGGCAGCAGTACTCCATTACGCCATTTCCAATTGATAAACATTTCCTATTTTTTTTTTTTTTTGATGTTTTCTTTGATCCGAACTTGTTCAGTATTCTCATATGTACTCTTTAAGTGGGCTTAGTGTCAGTTTGGTGTGATAGCATTAAGTACACTATTTACATTATTCGGACTATTGTCCTCATCTTTGTCGACATATTAATTACAACGTTTCGGTTGTTCTACGCTCCGGCCTTCTTCAGTTAGTTAGATCCAGTGACAGGACCCAAAGAGTGTGAGTTCAATACCTGGGTAAGGCGGTGGAGAACTTGGAGAGAGGAATTAACAGGAGATAACTGACATCCATTAGTCATGGCATGTGGAACTAGAACAGTCTACCCTAGTGAGTGAAATAAAAGGTTCAATTCAACATTCCAACCACCTGAAGAAGGCCGGAGTGTACAACAGCCAAAACATTGTAATAAATTGTAATTGTTCGAATAATGTAAATAGTGTACATAATACCTCATCTCAGAAATATAGACAGATACTGAAAGGCCGAAACATAATAAATATGGCAAAAAAGATGAGGTCAATAGTCCGAATAATGTAAATAGTGTACATAATACCTAATCTCAGAAATATAGACAGATACTGAAAGGCCGAAACATAATAAATATGGCAACAAAGATGAAGACAATAGTCCGAATAATGTAAATAGTGTACATAATACCTCATCTCAGAAATATAGACAGATACTGAAAGGCCGAAACATAATAAATATGGCAACAAAGATGAAGACAATAGTCCGAATAATGTAAATAGTGTACATAATACCTCATCTCAGAAATATAGACAGATACTGAAAGGCCGAAACATAATAAATATGGCAACAAAGATGAAGACAATAGTCCGAATAATGTAAATAGTGTACATAATACCTCATCTCAGAAATATAGACAGATACTGAAAGGCCGAAACATAATAAATATGGCAAAAAAGATGAGGTCAATAGTCCGAATAATGTAAATAATGTACATAATACCTCGTCTCAGAAATATAGACAGATACTGAAAGGCCAAAACGTAATAGATATGGGAACAAAGATGAGGACAATAGTCTGAATAATGTAAATAGTGTACATAATACCTCATCTCAGAAATATAAACAGATACATTAAAAGGATTCATTAGTCATGATTACTATGTCTGAGTTAAAAAGCAGTGGTCAATGACTGATATTTTTGACAAATATGCTTGCACATCAATCAAATTTTAAGATGTCTTAAAGCAATGAAACCATAGAGACACTAAATGGTAATGGTGAAATTAGGATGCCAATATTCAGAGAACTTAAAATGATTACTTGGTTACTTATTTCAGTGCATTATGTTACTTACACAGCCTTGTGGGTGATGAATTATTTTCCACCTTACAACCCCTTTCCCACAGACACAGTGTTGGAAGCGTTTTGTTACTCTATCACTATTTGCATGGAAAAATGTTTTGACAAACTATATTCACTTGTAACAATTGCCAGGTGATAACGGTAAATTCCTCCTTCAAATTTTATTTATATACTCTTCAGGAAGGCATCTTGGTGGCTTAATTGCCTTACTTGGAGTGAAATGATTACAAAAAAGAAATAAATGTTAGAGAATATGATCAAAAAGCAAGACATCATTAAGGAGAGAAGACAAAGAATAGGAATTAAGAAGACAGAAGATAACAATTGACACTGCATTTAAATTTTTGAAGATCAAATCTGTCTCGATCTAGCATCTCCCTCCCTCCCTCCCTGTCTCGATCTAGCATCTCTCTTGGCAAAAAGTCCCTCCCTTATTGTCTCGATCTAGCATCTCAATTCCTCCTCCCTGTCTCGATCTAGCATCTCTCTCCTCCCTCCCTGTCTAGATCTAGCATCTCTCTCCTCCTCCCTGTCTCGATCTAGCATCTCTCTCCTGTCTCCTGTCTTCCTGTCTAGAATCTCCTCCCTGTCTCGATCTAAATGCCTCCTCCCTGTCTCGATCTAGCGTCTCCCTCCCTGTCTCGATCTAGCGTCTCCCTCCCTGTCTCGATCTAGCGTCTCCCTCCCTGTCTCGATCTAGCGTCTCCCTCCCTGTCTCAATCTAGCATCTTTGTGTCTCTTATTTTTCTATCTATCTCTCTAATCTCTCTCTTTTTGTATATCTATCTATATATTCAGTAGAATTAATTTGACCAAGCTTTATTAAATTCAACTGACAAGATTTGCATGTTTGACTTTTTAAAAATTCCTCAACTGCAAAAGTGCAGAAATTTCTGCTTGAAGCATTAAACAACATTTAATGGGTTTAGGGGTGAAACTGAAAATTCAAAATAAAGAAGTACCCCAAGGGAATAAATTACCTAAAAAAATGTTAAAAAACCAAAAAATAAATGAAGAAAAGTAACCATGAAATTAAGAAAATTACAATCCCAATCTGACTAATGAATAGTCTGCCAAAGTATGACTTTGTCCTTAATTTATGAGTAATGTTCTTGACCTGAAAAAAAAAGACGAAAGAAAAGAAATTGAATTCAAAGCAAAAAATAAATGCTTTGTAATTTTAAATAACTTAATGGCTGTCAGTGTGTTTTTGTCACTCTTTCTCTCATCATAATGTCATGTAATGCTTAGCTTTTAGGCCCCCAAGATATGTCAAAAGAAAAATGGCTTGTTTATTCATGCAAGAAAATCACATTTACCTCCAACCTTGTCAGGTGAAAAGAAAAAACAATAATGCATCCATTATGACAAGAAAAATTTTCACCTGTCATTTCTCTCTTTCTTCCCACTATTTCTCTCTCTCAATATGTTTAATTCTGCCTCTCTTTCTCTCTCCATTCATGTATGTATGTATGTGTGTGTGTGTATATATATATATATATATATATATATATATATCTTTGTCTATTTCCCTGTACACCCCTAGATATTTGTGTGTGTCTTTCTGTCTATACATATGTCTCTGTTGTCTGTTTGTTCGTGTGTGCGTGTCTCCCTGTCCCTATGTTCGTGCGTGTCCCCCAGTCACTCTGTTCATCTGTTTCTCTTTCTCTGTCTGTTCATCTGTTTCACTCTCTCTCTCTCTGTTCATATCTCTCTCTCTCTCTCTCTCTGTTCATGTCTCTCTCTCTCTCTCTGTTCATGTCTCTCTCTCTCTCTGTGTTTTTTGTTTGTTTTTGTCTATTTCCATCTGTGAGTCTGTCCATGTGTGTGCATGTTTTTGTCTCTGTTCATGTGCATGTTTCTTTGTTTATGTATCTTTGTGTGTGTGTGTTTTTTCTTTGTGAGTGTATGTGTGTATGTCTCTCTCTCTCTCTCTCTGTATGTGTCTTTGTTGTGTCTGTGTGTGTTGTTCTTGTGTATTTGTCTCTATATCTGTCCTTCTCTCTATCTGTATATGATTCTCTCTCTCTCTCTCAATATCTTCCCTGTCCCCTCTGCAATATTCTTCCTGTCCAATTCCCTACTTCCTTCTTCTCACCTTTTTCCTTTCCCCCTCCACCACCCTCTGAAGTCTTCCTTCTTTTCTCTCTAACCCCACCTCACACTTACCTTTTACCAAATAAGTTGTCTCTTTAGAAAAAAATGCATAAAAATAACAAATTCAATTTTTTTTATCTCTTTTGAAATTCCTCATATCATAAAAAAAAAAAAATATCCAAATGTGTTTCATAATAGAATTTTCCCATTCTCCATTGAATTTAAGAAACTGTAATGCAGATTATTGATTTGTTTGCCTTTTAAAATGTTGATGTTCTGTTGCCATGGTAACTGATTTCATTGACAGTTTCTTCTTTCATATTGTGCTTGATACAAAAGAACTGTTTCATTCAATAAACCTTTTATCATTTACACATATTTGTCGATTTTGAGAAATTCTGCTTTATTCTCTTCTCATCTTTTCCCCCTTTTCTCTCTTATCTTTTACTCTTTTTCCCCTCATCTTTTTCTCCTTTCCCTCATCTTTTTCTCCTCTCCCTCATCTTTTTCTCCTCTCCCCTCATCTTTTTCTCCTCTCTCTCTCTCCCCCATCTTTTTCTCCTCTCTCTCTCTCCCCATCTTTTTCTCTCTCTCTCTCTCCCCATCTTTTCTCCTCTCTCTCTCCCCCCCATCTTTTCTCCTCTCTCTCTCTCCCCTCTTTTTCTCTCTCTCTCTCTCTCTCCCATCTTTTTCCTCTCTCTCTACCTCTCTCTCTCCTTTCTTTTTCTCCTCTCTCTCTCCTCTCCCATCTTTTCTCCTCTCTCTCTCTCCTCTTTCTTTTTCTCTCTCTCTCTTCTCTCCCATCTTTTCTCTCTCTCTCTCTCTCTCTCTCTCTCTTTTCATCCTCTCTTCTCCCATCTTTTCTCCTCTCTCTCTCCCCATCTTTTCTCCTCTCTCTCTCTCTCTCCATCTTTTTTCTCCTCTCTCTCTCTCTCCCCATCTTTTCTCCTCTCTCTCTCTCTCCATCTTTCTTCTCCTCTCTCTCTCTCTCTCCCATCTTTTTCTCTCCTCTCTCTCTCTCTCCTCTTTCTTCTCCTCTCTCTCTCTCTCCCATTTTTCTCCTCTCTCTCTCTCCCATCTTTTCTTTCTCTCTCTCTCCATCTTTCTACCTCTCTCTCTCTCCCATCTTTTTCTCCTCTCTCTCTCTCTCCCATCTTTTTCTCCTCTCTCTCTCTCTCCCATCTTTTTCTCCTCTCTCTCTCTCCCATCTTTTTCTCCTCTCTCTCTCTCCCATCTTTTTCTCCTCTCTCTCTCTCCCATCTTTTTCTCCTCTCTCTCTCTCTCTCCCATCTTTTTCTCCTCTCTCTCCTTTCCTTGTTACCTGTTTTCTCTTTTTTCTACTTTTCTCTCATTTTTTCCCTCCCTCACTTTCTCTCTCTCTCTTTGGCATTTTCTTTCTCTCTCATTTTATCCCTCCATTCCATACTATTGTTTTCACTTTTTCTACCTTTTTTTTGCATTGCATTTTCTTTCCATTGTTTATTGCCATATAGTTTTGCTCGCAATGTGCTTTGCAAGTGAGTTTTATCCTTACAGAGTGCTTCAAGAATCAGGCAGCTCTGGGCTTAAATTCACTTAAATTGTCGAGTAAATAGTTATTTTTATCTAAGGATCTTTATCTGTTGATCTCTGCATTATATATCTGCTCGTGCGGTATAGGGGAGGAATGCTGAAAAATTCTGTGCCCAACCAAGAAGAAATTTAAAAAATAAAAAAACAATTATGTTTAGTCATTGAGATTTTTAAAAACTTTTCGTAATCATTTCACTCCAAGCAAAGCAGCCACTAACACACAGGGGGCTACTGAGTGTGAAACAATATAAGACAAACATTATTAAGAAGTGGGATCAATAAAATAACAAGGGTTACTGGGAGTGTAAGAGAATGAGAAAACTTTAGCGAGGAGAAAGAACCATAAAAACAACAGGAATTAGGAAGGCAGAGGACAACGATTGACTTTGCATTTAAATTTTGGAAGTCAGAGTTGACCGGAAATCAAGGTCAGAATAAATTTCAACAAGCGAGAAGTGCTAGAAAATAAATTGTTAGCTACGTCTAATCAGTTCAACTGTAAAATGATGAGACCTTTCCACCAATCTAGTACTGCACTTGAACTCGTAGTGTCTCAGTATCATAGAGGTTGGGGCAAGCACTTTTCTGCACCCCTCATAATGGCTTATATTTGTTGTTGTTGTTGTATAGAAATATCTTCAGCATTTCTACTTGTCTCATTTATTTAATGTTTAATCATTACACTATCATTGGATTTTTTTTTTACTGCACCTGCCACCCAGATTTTTTTTTCTTTTTTTCGCTACTACACCACTTCAGTAAGAGGAAGAGCCCAAAATACGATTTGCAGGTCAGGAACACTAAAATGAAGCAGACACAGAAATTTAAATATCTGGGAAGCATCTTGACAGAGGATGGTAAATGCAACACTGAGATCCATAGACATATTGGGATGGCCAAGGACACATTCCAAAAGCTGGGCAGAGTATTGCTAGACAGGAGGATTTCTTTGGTAACAAAGAAAAGAATACTGAGCTGTTACATGACATCTATCCTTCTTTATGGCAGCGATTGTTGGAGGATTTCCACAAAGATGAAGAAGAGACTCAAGGTGACGGAGATATGGTTCTACAGTAGGATACTAAGGATATCATGGACCGAGCATGTGAGCAACGATGAGGTCTTAAAGAGGATGCAAACAAGGAGGAGGCTTATACTTAACATCAGGAATAGGCAGCTGAAGTTTCTGGGATGCATAATGAGGAAGGAGGGCCTGGAGAATCTGATGCTCACAAGTCAAATAGAGGGAAAGCAGCACATGACATACCTGGTGAGCTTAAGCAGGTAGGTGACAGAATGTGGTCTGGGTGAGGAAGCAGAAGGAAGGAGCTTGCTGAAAGCTGCAAGGGACAGAGGGAGGTGGAGAGCCATGGTCGTCTATGTCCTGAAATGACATGGCGCATAAAAAGAAAAAGAAGACTACACTACTTACCTGAGAGTTGTCAACTCCTTAAGGGTCATTTAATGTCAAAATTTAATTTTCTTGGAAGCTTTAAAGTAATAAAAATATGTTATTCTGCTTTCACAATTGAATACATGGTAGATGATACTCAGCTTTTGTGTATATACATGTTTATGTAATTACGAGAGGCGATGATGTGCGTTTTATGTTGTGGTTTTCTTGAAGCTTTATTTTAGAATACAATTTGATTTTAAAAAATTGTAGGATATTCTATGGATTAATGTCATGAAAGAGTTCTTTTATGTTGGTTGTTTGGTTTTGTTTGGCAGCATATCAACACTTCTATGATATTTTAATGCTGAAATTTAAATATTTTGTTCTTAATATTATATTTTCACGGTAAATGTATGTTTTTTTTAGATAAATAGTTTTGTAGATCATAAAATGTATTGTTGGTAATTTTATGATGAAAAGTATTTTTATATTTTTTTAGTGCTGTATCAATTGTCATTTTGCTATAAAAATGTATTGTTGGTCATTTTATTATAAAAATGTAATGTTGATTTTTGTTTAGGGGTTCAATATTTGCCCAGAGGTGGTTCCACACTCCTCCAAACCTCCAATCTCCCGATCTGAGGATTTGCTGCCGGATGTAGTTTGTCATACCCAGTACAAGAGAGTTGATATTACATTATTTAATATGCGCTGTGTATTATTCAGTTTATTTTTTCTTTCTTCTTCTCGTACTCTTTTCTCAGCAAGCAGAGAAATACTTTGTCTTAATGGTTTTTCCAGAAACTGAACTCTCCTCTCCAATTTACAATTCCAAGCAGTTATCCATTAAACCACCAGCACATTCAAGCTTACAGCACCTGATGTTCCCAAGTGGTCACACGTTTAGTTACTGACCAGGTTCGATGTTGCTTAACTTTGGTGATTCTATGAGAACTGGTGTTTCAATGTGATATGGCTATAAGCAATACCACTTGCACATGCATGCTTACAGGATCTGGTATTCCCAAGTGGTCACCTATCTAGTTATTGACTATGCTTGGCGTTGCTTAACTTACATGATTGTATAAGAACCAGTGTTTGAACGTGATGTGCCCGTAAGCCATACCAACTACACATCTAAGCTTACAGCACCTGGTATTCCCAAGGGATTCACCCATCTAAGTATAGACCAGGTTTGACGTTGCTTAACTTCAGTGATCATATGAAAAGTCATGTTTCACTGTGATATGGCCATAAGACATACCACTTGCAAATCCAAGCTTACAGCACCTGGTATTTCCAAGCAGTTACCCATCTGGGTACTGACCAAGCTCAATGTTGCTTAAGTTTTGTGATTGTACGGGAATCAGTGTTTCAATGGGATATGGCTGTAAGTCATACCACCCACACATCCAAGCTTACAGCACCTGGTATTCTGAAGCAGTCACCCATCTAGGTATAATATCACTTTTTGCCACTATAGTCACATCCTTAGTCATGGTCACTAATTAATATAAGGCTTTTTGGCCACCACCTACCACATTTTGACCATGGGGCTAACTCTGCGTGGTGACTCTGGTCGAAGCTGGTTGTTGGTCACTGGCCGCTTCAATCCACACCAACTCTGCCCACGTTGTGTTCTTGATCTCAGAACAGTGGAAGATCGAAAGTCATCGTAAGTGCAGTGCTGGTTCAAGCCACGGTAGGTGCTACATTAATCAAGAAAAATATCTTCATGATGAAAAATAAAATGAAATATACATGGGGCTAATCTTCAATTGGTTTATATAACTCTACAACAAAAATTAACCCTTCCCGTATCAATCTCTATATTGACACTAGTCCTTCTCTAAACTTCTGGAGGTGCTGAGTTCAAAGTTCTTGGAATCAGGAAATCTGGTGGCAGCTGATGTGGATTTCAGAGGTACTCAATGCAAGCTCTCAGCCCAAAGTCTCCAAGCTCCCCAAAGTCTTCTACTTATATGCATTTCAGCCCAAAATTGGCATATGGCCAAAGGGGTCTGGGCATTCAATGATCCACTAATTTTCATTAATTCCAATAAAGGTTTTCTTTGCTCCCTATTTCTGCTTTCTTAATCAACTTTCCAAATTTGGAGAATTATCCACTTTTTGGGGGAGTAGTTAAAGAGGTTTCTCCCTTAACTCCAACCTGCTTCACTTCACACCTTGCACTGATACTTCACACAGGTGGGACTAAATTCTGACCCTTCTTCATTCCTTCTCAGTATTCTAACTCTGCCCATTTCTCAGGGCTGGCATAACTGTCTTTCTGACAAATTTTATTTTTAAAGTGAGTAGGGAAAGAGTGTAGTTTATTCTCATTAATTTCAATTCTCTGACTCCTTTCCTAGACCAACATGTCCAGCAATCATTCTCTGTTTTCATTTCTCAATTCATTTTTGCTAACAAAAATATAATTCCCATCTGCTTCTCTTTTCACCAATAACATGTGTTTTTCTAAATTCCCAAGAAAGAGATAAAGCTATTTTTCAATTTGCTTTACCTATATGCCAGATTTTTGATAGATAAAAAATGATAAACTCTTGGTGCATTGTTCTGATTTGTAGAAGTGAGGCAACCCAGATAGCTCTTTCTTCTCTTCCACATTACCAGGAATAATGTCTTCCATTCTCTTTCCAGCTCTCTACCTTCCAGTTTATATTTCATTTTGGGTTTAACCTTTTTACTGCTTAGTATTAATGTTTAACAAACTCACAGCCTCAGTGTCACATAGGTACAGACCAGGCTCAATGTTTCTTAACTTCAGTGATTGTACAAGAATTGATGTTTCAATGTGATATGGCTGTAAGCCCTATTATAATAGATGGAACAAAAAATATATTGGGCCTGAACAAAAGTTTGTAGCATCTTTTAAGTGAATTTCAAAAACAATATTTAGATACTTATTTATTCAACCACATATATACCATTTTGTTTTGCTTGTGATGGCTCTTTTCAAAGATGGGTTTTCTTGTATTTGAGTATAGCACAGCAAATGGAAATACAGTTCCTTAAATTTTTCTCTATTAAATCATGAGGCACCTGTTACGGTTTTTTGTGTATATACTATATATATATGACTAGTGAATTAGTCAAAATGACTTAATTTCCTTTATAGTCTACCAATAGAAGGTTGACCAATCAGAAGCCGCAGAACATTGTATCCGTCGTGTATAAAGGCGGCCATCTTTTTTATCCTACCGGAATGACCAGAGCCAACTTGTGAGGCGAACATGACAGACGGAAGGATTACGCTCTGCTGCGATATCCACTGCGAACCTAAAGTACGCTTTCCTACTGTCTCTGAAATATTCACCGCCAACCTCTGGATTCTATACTCGAGGACGACTGCCATTAAAATGTTTAACAGCACCTAAACATTGTAGCACTTGATGCATCCAAATGCCTCTCATTGTTCATATAAAATATGTGGAGTATCTACAATGTCGCATGTTGTGTGACCTAGATAATTTTTAAAATGGCATCTTGATTTGGTCTTCAACAATGACTACAAATCTGTCAGAACATTTTCGGACTTCCAGATAAAAATTTCCATTGCTGAACCTCGTGAACTATGCATGGACAGTACTCTGTTATGGCACCATCTCTATAAATGGCACCTGTCTTTTTTTGCTATTTCTGCAGCAATTTTTTTCCCCAGAAATAAAAAAGCAAAAAAATGAGGAAAATGCATGCCTTTATCCTCTGTTTTAACTTTTAACATAAAAACATTTAATATTCACAACCCACACATGAATTGCATAGAAGAAAGACACCTTGAAAAACCACCTTTCAGAGTGTGTGTGTATATATATATATATATATATATATATGTCACAATTGTCAATCACGTGAAACAAAATCCTGTGTTCAAGTGCTGCCTATGGAAAAATGCAGCAAACTTTTGTTCAAATCTAATTACAAGATGTAAAGAAATGATTCGATAAGGATCAGAAATAAAACCCAAATAACTATGTGACTAGATTTAAATTATGTTTGTTGGTTAGCTTTTGTGGCCTAATTAGCTAAAGCGTTCTCCATATCAGAAAATCTAAGGAATGCAAATTCAAATTAAAAAGTTCATAATGGAAATGCTTAATTTAAGAATTTCTCACAATTTAGGATAAATTATGTCTACTACTACTAATACTAATAATTGTAAAGAGGCAACAAAAATAAGATTAAAAAAAAATTATTGATAAAATTAATACTGGCAAGGCTTTATCCAACAAAACTGAAATTACTTTAAGACTATTATATCAACTACTACTAGTAGATGTCAACAAACAATATGGTCCTGGAGAGAGTAAAAATTGAATAAATATGAATGTTATTAACTTTGAATCATGTCTGAAAGTTAGCTGAATCAGTAAGGCACTGCCCAATTCAGACAGGTTGCCAAGGATAGGTGAGGCTAAGTTCAGATCATATCACAGATTGTAGTAATTTTTTTTTATTTCTCATCTATAGTTAATGGCTGGAGAATGTTAAAAAAAAGATTAATATTGTGATAAAAAGCAAAAAAAATTAAATTAAATGAAAATTAGTTAGAGAAATAAGATGAAAGAAATACTAGTCAAAATTAATAATATAATTGACAAGGCTTCATCTAAGAAATTCAAACAACTTAAGACTATTATAGGTACCTCCATGAAATTGCTAAAAAATCAGTATATCATGATGAAAATATGGTCCAAATATAAGGAAAACATAGTTTTATCATTAAAGTATTTGTTATTATTAAGAGGAAAGATCAAAGTATTTTTTGAATATCTAATTAAATTTTTTACTCCTTTTTAGAACAAAATTTTGATTAAAAAACTTGGTTTTCTTGCCTCAGCGGATATACTTTATTTTAGCATAGAAAATTTGAGCCTCTTTTTTGTTTTACAATAACAGACATAATAATTTGGAAATTCTTGAAAAGGTCAAATGTTGGATTTTAATGCAATTTTCAGGACTTATTCACAGATGAATGAAATTATTTTAGAAATGTTTATTGGAAAATCTTGGTAAAAATCTTTTTTTTTTTTTCATTTTTTTTTTTTATATGTGTTTCACCCTCCTTACTTAATTTTATGAAAACTTGAGAAATTCAGCATGATAATTTTTAGTGACTATATTAGTTCAAAGCAGAATTAGAGAATTTAAATCACATTTTTTTTTTTTTGTTTTGTTTTGTTTTTTTGCAAAATCTGGCAAAATCTTAAAAAAAAGTCTGCTCTGCACTGAAAAATACAAAACAATAAAACTAAGACATTATTTAATTAGAAAAGCTTTTAATTGCTTCTATGAATAATATATATTAAGGGCAATATTGTCTTAAGAAAAAGATTTTTTCATTTTTTAAAAATTTTAATTAGAATAATTTGTAATATTTTTAAATCTTTTAAAATTCAGTTTCAATGGTGTAACTTAGGAAAGATTGTTATTAAGTAAAAATATTTTTACTAATCACTTATCGTAAAGCTTATTACAATCTGCCCCCCCTGAATATTTTTAAAAGAATTTTTAATTGTTTTTGTATGTGTAAAAATGTGCTGAATTTTATAGATACAGTCACCTCTACATGAGAGTATCAGAAAATAAGAGCAACAACTATAGTAAACTGAGAGACAAAATTCTCTAAAATTCAATAAAACCTTAGATTACAGAGAATATTTTCTTAAATTTTTAAGATTACTGAGTACTTAAAAAGCTTTTGCGTTATATTCCTTAATTATGTTTTATGATTAAAGACACTCTCCCCCCATAGAACAACATTAGATAACAATCTGTCTGTCATCGGCTTTCACAGAGGTGTTACAAACCTGTCAACATAATTAAACAATTTATTGTTGTGTTGAAAAAGATTTGTTATGTTTTAAACTTAAAAAAAATAGTAGTTGTTTCAAATCAGATTATTTATACTTTAAATCAGCTAAGATTCCTCAAAGTTTCAGAAAAGTGTATTTTATTTTTGGAAGATTTTTAATAAAGAGATTTACATTTTTATAAAAACTTTGCTAAAAATGCTGCTAAATTAAAAAAAATTTTCCAATCAATTTAAATTAGTTTTGAAATACGTCGTATTTTGTTTATTGAAAATGGTAAAATTTATCTCTTAACTTGAAATTAAAATAGAAGCTTCAAGAAAAATCTTTCATTATTAAAAATTAATTTTAAACATTAGGTATCACGTTTTTGTCAGGGTAACTAGACTATTACTACTTGGTAATGATAGTCTATTTGGTAGCCAGAGAAATAAGATGAAAGAAATACTAGTCAAGAAATAATCAGAATTGACAAGGCCTCATTTAAGAAATTTAGACAACCCAAGACTATTACTACTTGGTATAAAAGCAAGAGAAATAAGATGAAAGAAATACTAGTCAAAAATGAATAATAATTGACAAGACTTCATCTAAGAAATTCAAACAACTTAAGAGTATTAGTACTTGGTGTAAAAGCAAGAGAAAAAAAATGAAAACATGAAGCAAAAATGAATAATACCTGACAATGCTTCACCTAAGAAATTCAGAATTTAAGACTATTGCTACTTGGTTTAAAAACATCAAGTAATAATTTGGTCAAAAATGAGATGAAATAAATCCTATTCAATTCAAGGTTTCACATAAGAAATCTGAATATTCACTTATATTTTGTTCACCTTTCATGCTAACCAACCAACCAGATTTCATTGGAAAATAAAAAAAAAAAAAAAAACTTTTTTGAATAAAACTTCCTTTTCTTTCAGATTCATATCGATGCCAATGCTGATTCCAATATGCCACTAAATATTCCTGGATATCCATTCTTCCGATGGCCAAGAAGAAACCAGTTGGAATTCATGACACAGAACAGTGATTCCTACATAATGGTAAGCGCTAAATATATTGTCATCATTTTTGTAATATTATGTCGAAAATAATTTTTTTTCTTTTGTTACCAACCTATGGCAACTTTAGGAGAAAAATAATTTTTTTTTATTAATCATTTTGTCCCAAGCAAGGCAATAAAGCCGCTAAGATGCAAGGGGTTACTGTGTGTGAAAGAATATGAGAAAAAGATAAACATTAAGGAGAGAGAACAATAAAAATGTAAATTTTGACTTGAGTTTTGTTTGTATTTTTGAACATATTCTTTTTGTTGGTGTTATTACCATGTTTTGACTAAACCGTTTAGAGCAGTCTTCAAGTGTGCAAGCCTCAAAGAAAGAAAGGTTTTTTTTTTCTAAAAAATGATTTGTCTATTTGTTGTTAATTATTTTTACAGACCCTTTGTGGAATGTGTAGAGTGCCACAACCACATCAAATGATCCTGTGAATGTATATATATATATATATATATATATATATATTGCTGAAGGCTTGAATGATCTGTTTCTTCTCACCATTGCCCAGTTGGGACAACATAGTGGGACTGACACAAAATGATTTTGACCTGTTCTCTTCCTAGCTGAATAACTCAAAGGGTTTTACAGTGATTCTTATGACAAATGGTGTTAAGATGGTTCAACGTCTTATCTGAAAACCTGAGAAAAAGAAACTCAATTAATTTAGCGTCTTTTTAGATATCCAGCATTGGGATGGGCAATTATGCTGTTGCGTGATTTGAACAATTTTGCTGTTACACCTTGTGTATGTATATGTGTGTGTGTGTGTATATATATATATATATATATATATATATATATATATATATATATATATAGAGAGAGAGAGAGAGAGGAGGCATGGTGGAGTAATGGATAAAACTTGGATTGAGGAATCAAAGGCCAAATTCAATTCCAGTCCATCCATTACATTCACTTACGTGCTAATACCCTTGGGAAAGGTATGAATCCTCTTCCTCTCCCTCCAGCTATGGGTAAAATAGCAGGACAGACTGGGTTCTATAGCCTTGGATGGCAACTGGTCTAGGAGAAGGACAACTCTGAATTACAAAACCTGCGGAGGGTCGTTTGGGAACCTTGTGGCATTCAGTGCACGAGGTCTCTGTATTCGTCCCTTCAAAAAGTGTCAATGGTCACAAAACCTTCACCACTATAATCAAATCTCATGTGTCGGGCTGTCGGTTTCCTAGAAACTGATCTGCTTGACCCTCATACGTCGAATCTCAACGGGAGAGTAGATTTTATATATATATATATATATATATATATATATATATATTTAAAGATATGTTTAGTGGTACAAAATCTTATCACGGCCATAAATAAAAATTAGTTTACCACTCATGATAATAAAAAGTAAAAATGAAAAACGAACTAGCTAACTGGTTTTGTACCTTGCTCAACAGAGCTAAGTTGAGGTAAATAAAGTAAATTATATAAAAAGAACAATGGACAAAGTGTATTGGGGGGAAAAGAAAGAAAAAAAATATTTAAGTGGTAATTAGTTGGAGGCCTAATACAAAGTCCTTCTGTTTAAAAAGACAAGGCTTTAATGATAGAATATAGACGGCCTCCAACACTTTTAGGTGGTAATTAGAGTGGGACCTGCTAAGAATGGTAAAAACGTCACCACTAAAACTAACAGCACAATTATGGCTATTTATAAGGTGTTCTGCGATGGAAGACCCGTATGTATTGGTCAAAATGTCTGAGGGAGTGTACTTAAGATTTCAGATTTTCACTGGAACATGTTGTTTTATTCTAGCATCTAGCCTTTGCGTTGTTCTCCCTATATAGTGCGAACCGCAACTACATTTAAAAGAATAAATTAATGAACTATTATGATTTGAAGGGAGAATATCCTTATGCATAGACGGAAGAACAGGCCTAGCAGAGAAAACAACATAAGTGTTGGCGGCAAAGTAATAATGTCGAACTGTGGTAGAAACCTGCTTAGCAAACCTATCACTGATACTACCTAGCCAAGGACGGCGGAGGTACACAGGACACCTTTTTACTATAGCAGGTTTAACTTTGTTAAATTCAATAATTTTATTCTTAATAATTGCTTGAACAATGCCTAATGGGTAGGCATTATTGCAGAGAGTAGAAGTAATAAACCTGAGTTCATCATCCTACTTGATGTCAGAACAGATCATGAGAGCCCTATGGGTAAGGGTCTTAATTAAATTGATTTTGCACTACCTGGGACAAAAAGAATCCCAACAGGTATACAAACCAGTAAACATCGGTTTACAGTAAACAGAAGAAACAAAACACGATGCAGATCTGCTGACCAGTACATCAAGAAAGGGAAGAGATGAATCAACCTCCTTTTCCTGTGTAAATTTCAAGGTCAGATGTATATTGTTAAGGAACGCAAGAAATTGGTCCGGTTTAATCTCGCTATGGAAGAGACAAAAAGTGTCATCGACATAACGGAAATAAACGTCAGGTTTATCAGATTTTAGTAGTACAGTCTCTTCTTGGAACAAAACAAAGATATTTGCTAAGATGGGCTCCAAAGGGGAACCCATTGAAACACCAATCTGCCTGTACATGATGCCATCGAAACTGAACTCAACTGACATTGTGGCAAATTTCATCAGCTCAATAAATATGTTCTCCAGAATAGCAGGCAGAGACAATTGTCTATGATACAGAGCATCAGCACATATATCAATAGTCTCAGCAAGTGGAACGCAAGTAAATAAACTGGCAATATCATATGAACACATAAATTTATCTGTAGGCAAATAACACTGCATAAAATGGGAGAATTCAAATGAATCTTTAATACAAGCAGAGTTATACTGCTCCAAAACTGGTTGTAGTATAGTGAAAAGCCATTTAGCCACACCATGTTGAGAAGACCCTATCACAGATAGAATAGGTCTCTATGGTGTCCCAACTTTATGAGTTTTGGATAAGCCATAGAGACGAGGATGACTGGAGCCCGAGGATTTAATTAAATTTGAAATATCAGTGGGCAATTTTCCACTTTTTACTCACTTAACCAGATGTTTTTGGAACTTGTCCTCAATAGATAATGTAGAATCAAATTTATCTATTGGGCCTAACCTGACAAATTTAGCGGAATCCCCAAGAATTGTCATCATCTTGTTAACATAATCCTGATAATCACGAATAACAATGCCAGTACCTTTTTCGGGTTTCATAATTACTAGAGATTTATTATTACAAAATGTTTTAATTACTCAAAATTGCTTCTCATTCCACTTCGATTCATTATGTGAAACAGGAGTACCTGCATAGCATTGTGCTATAAATATTACCATTACAAATATCATTACAATCATCCCAAATATTTTCTGTCTATATTTTTAAGATGAGGTCTTGTAATTATTTACACTATTTACATTGTTCAGACTGTTGTCCTCATCTTCGTTGCCATATTCACGACGTTTAGACCATTGTACGCTCCGGCCTTCTTCTATATCTGTCTATATTTCTGAGATGAGGTATTGTAATTATTTACACTATTTGCATTGTTCTGACTGTTGTCCTCATCTTTGTTGCCATATTCACGACATTTAGACCGTTGTACGCTCCGGCCTTCTTCTATATCTGTCTATATTTCTGAGATGAGGTATTGTAATTATTTATACTATTTACATTGTTCAGACTGTTGTCCTCATCTTTGTTGCCATATTCACGATGTTTAGACCGTTGTACGCTCCGGCCTTCTTCTATATCTGTATATATTTCTGAGATGTGGTATTGTAATTATTTACACTATTTACATTGTTCGGACTTTTGTCCTCATCTTCATTGCCATATTCACAACATTCTTCAAGGAGACATGGCCCAGTGGATAAAAGCGTTCGTTGAATTCCAGTGACTTGACCCAAAGAGTTGTGAGTTCAATACCTGGCTATAGCTGAGGTGAACAAAAACTTGGCAAGTTGAGTTAAAGGGAGATAACTGATACTGAGACATCTGGAAGAGGCATGGCACGTGGAACTAGAACAATCTACCCCCAGTAGATGAAATAAACGGTTCAATTCAAAATTTCAATCACATGAAGAAGACTGGAATGCGCAATGCCCAAAATGTCATGAATATTGCAACGAAGATGAGGACAAAAGTCCAAACAATGTAAATCGTGGAAATAATATATATATTTGTTTGTATTAAAAAAAAAAAAATTTCAGAAATTTTTTTTTTTTTTTTTTTTTTTTGACTTATATTTGATATTCAATCAAGAAATCACTATCATCGTCAATCCCATGACAAGGTATGTCCATGAAATATTTGACAAGCTGTAGAAAACAAATCATTCAATCAGGTGTGGCCATAGGGTTACTGTGAAGCTGTGCACCTGGCCATTTCCTTCCACATAATTAGGTTGAAAGCCGGAAAGTCATTCATATCTTCATGAAGTAGACCTGAAGAAGCCCATCCCTCTCCAAGTCAGACCAAAGTTAGTGTCCCCCAACTTGGCTCTCCTTGGTCAGGGACTCATGAGTGTTGCTTCTATCAGGGGATTGATTTGATTTCTTATGATATATCAATCCTGACTGGGTTATTTAAAGCCAAAACCTATTTTGGAAATTACTAATATTATCATATATATATATATATATATATATATATATATATATATATATATATATATATATGCAACATATATATTTGTGGATAGGTCGCACATTTTTTTTTTACCAAAAAATTTCACAAAATATTAGGGGTGTCAAAGTATACTTGAGAGAGATGAAATTAATCCCTCCCTAAACTCTACCATGTCTATTTAACTATCCCTTTTACACTCTCTGTTAAATTACAAAAACTTACACTACCCATCAATTTTAATTTCATTTTTCGTTTCATTTCATTTTTCGTTTCATTTCATTTTTGGAAGTGCTATCTGATGATCCGGCATCCTTTAAAAGGACTCTGGTGAAATAAATTATTATAATGGTACCTTAAAGTGATCTGTTTTTTTTTTAAATTATATATATATA